ACTTAATTTAACGATGGCCCTGTCAGTAGTAATGACAATATTTGTGCTTTTTTTAGCCATGTAGTAAAATAGTACTATTATTTTCAGTGTACAAAATGAGAGTCAAGAAGAAGTAGAAGAAAAAGAATAGGAAGAGGAAGAGGAGGAAGAAGAATAGTTTTTTTTTTGTTTTATAATAATAAACGTGTTGAGTATATTGATATTGATTATGCGATGAGGTTTTTTTTATATCTTTCGGTGTGATTTAAACATGCCAATTCTCAGAAAATATTTAATTTCTAATTTATTATATTACCACCTTTTCATTACATAGATCTTTTTCCAAACATAGCCCAAACTGCTTTTATAACATTATTATAGACCCATTAAACACAAAAACTGCTCTGGCTTCGGGGGCTTCGCCCCCGACCCCACCAGGGGTGGCGCCAGCGGGGGTGGGAGACCGGGGCCAGGGCCCCCGTCGGGGAGAAAAAGCACAATTCGTCGGGGAGAAAAAAAAATTATATGTATTTTTTACATTAGTAGACTCTAATATCGATTTAATAAGCCGTTGAAACCCCTGAATTGTCAAAATTTTCGGGGGCTTCACCCCCAGGACCACTTTTGGAACCTACTAATTGAAGCTCGACCACGCCCACTTTGCTTTCGTCGGAAAAATCTGACCCCTCGTCGGGGCACCGCCCTCCCCCCGGTCGGGGGCCACCCCCGCCCCTTCGGGCAAATCCTGGTGCGACCTCTGGACCCCACGCCCAGAGAACCCCCCCTTGAAATGACCTGGCTACGGGCCTGCTAATATGTTTAATGCATACAGGAAACTGAAGTGGTTTGCCCAAATCCTGGTAATCACGTGATCTTGTACTATGGCGCCTTCCACAATAAGTATTGTCCCCAAAAGCTTTAAAAAATATAACAAATATTGATTGTTCATAAACACTAGAAAAGATAAATATATTTAATCAATGTATTACAGAATCCACAGGATGCAGTGTAAGAGTGTTGTCTTTATGATACATGATACATAGAATTCTGTTGATTCGTATTCAGGTTAATATAACAATATAATAGTACAGTAATAGTAAATGAAATTATTTCCTCTTTTCAATAATAATGATAATTTATATCGTGTCTTTTTAATTAAATAGTGTTCAAGGTGTTTAAAAAAAATAAAAACATATTCATAATTTTCTAATACAAATATTAAATATCGATCAATATTTAAATGGTATTTATTCAAATAGCATATTTTGTAAATATGTTGATATGCTGAGCGATACCAATTGTTACTTAAAGCTCCCCTGCCACAAGTAGTCTGTATGATGTGTATGTTCCAAGGTGTCCACATGAATATACAAGTCTCTAGCAATTATTTATTGTCCTGCGAGGGCGTATAGATTAATATTTTGGTACACATTGCCTCACAACTAATTAAGGATCTAGAATACGAGTAATTATATATCTGTTTATGCCTACAAGGCATGGGTACATGCATGCAATGCAGTTATGCCTACAAGGCATATAGACGTATGTTTCTAAACCGCCCACATTTTTGTTATGCACATTTTAACATTAGTAACCTGTTCACTCTTCCGCTATATAAATTATCAATTGATACACAGAGTGTACTTTTATTAAAGTATATAAAAATCAATTATTGAAGCATATAAAAGTAAATTGTAATGATAATTGGTGATATGAATTCTGTGGGTAGTTGTCACGCAATACAGCAAAACGAGAACTGGATAAATTGATTATGATAAATGTTTCTTACTTGGCATTTAATGATGAAAAATACTTATGGAAATTATTTGTACTCTGCTATGATCAATGACAATTGATACAGAAACTCTTTCCAATTACTGGAGTATACTAACTATAAATTATAATGCTAATTAGTAATCCGAATAACATGTGGATGCTTTATTCTATAGCGAAAAACCAACTGGATACACCTACCGCATTTTCCCCAGATAATGAAAAATAACCTACGTAAATGTCAGTTGTTATGATGTCATTGAATATGACATTCAAATTGTTTCATTATTGTTTAATTTTTTTGTCTATATGTCATTCATTTTCGATGATGGTTTATTTTAATTTTTTGTAATACTAGTACGTTTTGTATTTCATGTAAGTTAGACAGTTTCGTCAATAAAAATGTACAAACATTTTGGAGCTATGATGACTTTAGACGTTATATATTTTACAAGCGTCTTAAGGCCAACTCAGCATCGTACAGCCTAACAAGATTCATCGTCGGAGAACAGTCTTTAAGGTTCCTTCCCATGTGCCAAAACAAGTTTACATGTACAAACATACTTTTTAAACATTTATCTAGTCATATATCATCAAAATGATATTTTTTAAATAAATTGGTGGGAAAATGTTTGGGAAAAGTTAACTCATTGACGGCACATTTTATTGACAATGCCAAGTGCAAGTCATCTCATCCGCTTTTTGCATGAGTTGGCATATGTTCAAAGGGCGCCCCTACTTGTGCCTCTCGAGTGTACTACTGGCAACATAACACAACAAACATACATATGTGATTATTTCTAGTATCTTCCCCCAACTACCAGTCGTTGGTTCTACAATGTATAACAAAGAAGTTTTACGCATCGCTGGCGCCTTCAGCAACACCCAGTGAACAAGTGTTGAGCCATCGTGAGAATATTAAACATGTTTAATATTCTGTGATGCGACTGTCCCCGGCACAGACCATTACGTCTCTGTTTAACTCGCACAGGTCCGATGCGTCAACAATTCCCGTCAGACTGCGTCATACGACGCTGTCTATATTTAGTTTGCTTGTGGTAGTCCTTATTTATAGGACTTTAACAAGTTTGGTCAAATCAGAATTTCCAGTGTATACGGAAATTTCAGTAGCGATGCGAAAAAAGCAGAGTAGGCGTACTTTGGGCAGTGGTCAATGAGTATAGTCTGATTAGCTATAATCGGCCGCCTTTCCTGTCGTTATAATATATACTATATATATAGTCAAATAACGCCTCATAATTTTTCTGTAAACGTAGAAGTGCAACACATAATACTGTTAAAATGTGTTGCATGATCAAGATTTGCTGATCTCAACCAGTTTAGAAAAAAATGTAAATCTACTGGAGTAGAACATTAATAGAATGTGTTCAGAATAATTTTGTTCCATTAGATTTGTTTACAGTCATATAGGGGGCGTTTATTCAAGGAAAGAGGGAGGCGTTTATTCTAAATGATGCTCTAGAGGGGGTGTTTATTCAAAGCAGGGTGCTTAGTCAAATAAATATGGTATATTTTTAGAATCAAGGAAGTTCAGATATGGTTTGTCAATTTTTTCCCCATATACTGTACAGACAGCTAATAAGCTCTAAAGGAAATACTTAATTATATAATTTATGTACAGCATCAATTTTTTGGGGAGGTGGGGAATCCCCCTCTTTTAGGTTCAAAAGTTGTTAAAGCATTTACTTGTATTTCATTCCCCTCCATCTAAAATTGGCAAGCAGCTGTGTTTCTAATAACATTGACGGTGCACTTAGCATTACTTATTTAATCAATACAATTAATGAATAATACTGTCTGTTTCGAGCTGAGAAGCATTAAATATTTCAGTTTACTTAATTTGTATATACTGTAGGTCTAACTTTAGTTGTTTTTGTTGAAATAATAATTGGAATATATTTTCAGCAGAAGTATAAATAGTAACTGTTACTATTATTTTCATAGACCTATAAATTTACTGGTAAGTTAGGGATTTTCATAATACACGTAGTTTCATGTAGGCCCTACTTTTTTTTTCAATGATAAATTTTAATTGGAATATTTTTCCAGGACTTAACACAAACAGGCCGATTATTTGAAATGTTTAATCAGCCTCTCTACTTACGGATGTTATATTTTTTGTGATCGGATATTAGTCGGAATTTCTAGAATATTAATTGCTTGTTGAAGTAGATAATGATCATAATGTGCATTTAAATGGCATTGAATCCGCCTTGAAGACGCAGATAACTGCATTTAATTACAATGGATACTCATCAACATAAATCAGGAAGTTCGTCTGTTTTTGTCTCGTCTATGTGCCCTGTAGCATATTATTAAGAAAGTAGCTATCAATATCCAGGTACGCAGTATACAAACGTAGGTCTCCCAGACGGCCCAT